CTCTAAATGATGGCATGCAGCACCACACTCTAAATGATGGCATGCAGCACCACACTCTAAATGATGGCATGCAGCACCACACTCTAAATGATGGCCATGTAGAAGTTGTCCAGTTTAAGTTATCTTTAATATCCCCAGGGGCAGCATGGTTTCAGTGGTCCAAAGGATCAAGTCTCCTGAAGAAGTGGATCCTTTGTTGTGTTTAGATTCACAGATAATCCAGCAGAGGGCACTGTCCCCTTTATATTCATAGATATTTAGAGTCCGACTGTTTTACAGTCTCCTGATACGACAGTTGGAGCAGTGATGAGTTGAGCTTGACTTCCTCAGTCTTAACTGGGTTTATGATGAGTGCATACTGGTCCCACAACTCGAACAGGCTCCTCCCACAGTCCTGGTTCATCCTGGTTCTTCCTTCCCTGACAGTAGGACCACCAATGATGTCATCAGAAAATGTAGCTAAATGATGGTTCGGTGCCCTTATGACACAGTCGTTGGTAGGCCTGGGCGATAAACTGAAAAATAACAGATACCGACATTTATGACAATAACCGACGTCATTTTGCCCATGTTGGTATTTTGTGTTTAAAAAAATGAGGAAAAGAGAAACCTGCTTGTTTTCTGTGGTCTGGTTAAACCCACCCAGTCTGATACAGGTTTATACAGACGCTGCTTTCAACAAATCAAACAAACCCCACAGTTTTATCCAATCAGAGCAGAGCAGGGCGGGGCTTCCTGATGCAGCAGTCTGCAGGATGAACAGCGGTCAGCCTGCAGCTCCTGTCCTGAGCTACCAGAGACACCAGTGTGTAAAATCTAACACTTTATAAGTTTACGTGTTCAGAACGTTGTTATCTATCTTGGGTCACGTGACCAAACTCCTGTCGTCGACAGCGCTGTTACAGGAGCATGCTGAGGTGCACGCAGGCTGAGCCTCTGTTCCACTGAAACATTAACTCTAACAGATGAACATTTGTTTGTCCCGTATTATAGAAAAGATAAGTCTCTGCTCAGCGTTACCCCCCACCCCCCCAAAAAGAAAAGCCCACTTTGTTCCTGCTGTGTAGTAAATATCTACAAATTTCCTTCTTCACAATATAACTTTATATTTAGAACCATACTGTGTGAACTGCTCTGTGATTCAATAAATGATCAAATATGAAGAATAAATAGTATTTAATGGTTAAATGAGCTCTCTAAATAATACAGTCTTTTTAAAAGAAATAGTTATTTTAATAGAGAAATCATCAGTCTAACAAATAAAAACTGGATTTAAGTTAGCTGGTCCAAGTGACTGGGAGAGGGAGGTCTGAGTCTGCTCAGGCTGCGGCCCCCCACAGCCACACCCAGGGTAACAGGAAGAAAACACACGGACAGATTTAAGTGATTTTATGCAGTACAAAAAACATCTTTGGTATATTTTTTTAAATATAAAATTATACATAATGTGTTTGTTTGCACTGAAATGTTATGGAGATGGTTAAATATTTGAATGACCCAAATCTTGCTAAAGGTGTTATTTATTAAATATATAAAAAACACTAAAATGATAAATATAGAAAAGCTGTTCAAAATCTAAACTGTGTACTTTGACTAAGAACGTGGACACAGTGTACAGGCCCTGGCATAAAGTCTGCAGTCAGCAGTCTCTGATCAGCTCTCATTCAGACATGTCATTCTGTAAAACAAACTCAGATTAAAAACATGATACAATAATAAGGTCATTCCAAAGGTCAACTTGTCTTTCAGGAACACTTGAAATGAAGAGAAAACATTGTGGAAGTCAGTGAATGTTACTTTTATTGACCAAGCACAGGAAATATATGGAATCACTGAAATTAGAGGTGTAAAATAAGGACACAGCCAGTCAGTTTCCTTTCTCTAAATGGACACCTGGCTCAGGTTAGATCTGCTGTTAGTCTGCAGTTAAAACAGCTGCAGTCATGACACCTTGGAGGGCTGCTGGACCAAGTGGAGTGGACAGAACCATGGCTCCAACAAGACAAATGTCTCGAAACAAAAGAGAGGATTCAGGGCTGTACGTTAACTCTTTTAGCTCGTAGCACCGGTGCTACAGAGGTTACTGGTTTTGTAGCACAGAACAAAAAGTTGTAGCAGCAGCATAAAATGTCTGTTCTAATGTCTAAAACCAAAAGCCAGGATGGTGAGTAACATGGTGAGTAATATGGTGAGTAATATGGTGAGTAATATGGTGAGTAATATGGTGAGTAATATGGTGAGTAATATGGTGAGTAATATGGTGAGTAANTAATATGGTGAGTAATATGGTGAGTAATATGGTGAGTAATATGGTGAGTAATATGGTGAGTAATATGGTGAGTAATATGGTGAGTAATATGGTGAATAATATGGTGAGTTTTGTTGTAGGACAGGAGTCACCAACCTGTTTGAGACTGAGAGCTACTTCAGGCTACTTGTTTGATAAAAAACAGATTTATACAGCTCACATTCAATTATAAGACATTTACATACATGTGGATATTTAATTCACATATTTATATATTTAAATTATATATTTAATTGTATATTGTATGCATGTGTGTATTGGAGAGACATCCTCAGCTGGAAACATTCCTTGTGTGTGTCAGCACACTTGGCCAATGAAGCTGATTGTGTTTCTGTGGAAGCCCTCAGTTTGTGTTAGTCTGAGTGTTTGTGTGTATAATGTTGTGTAGCTGATGAGCCCTCCCAGAACCAGTGACAGGCTCTGTCTTTACCCTGCTGCTCTGTTTCTGCTGTCAGCACTGAGAACATGCTGGACCCAGATGGAGACTTTGACCTGGAGGACACGATGGACGTGGCCCGTCACGTGGAGGAGCTGCTCCGGAGACCCATGGACACCCAGACCCAGTGGAACAGTCAGCAGTCCTGAACAATAACCCTTTTTTATCAATATTTTTACCTTTTTGTTGTTGTTTTTTAATCTTGAGGCTCACACAACCAAAACACTTAGTGGACAGCAGCTGAGGAAGCTCACACATCATCATCCTGATGTCATTCAGTTCCATAGGAAGAGACCATGTCTGTCTTACTCTGTGATTATTAATCTTCTATGACATCATCGTTTCTCAGGACTGCAGTCTGGAGCTAATCTTTTATAGATGTATTTTTTTATAAAAGTTATTTGTCCTAAACTGTACAGAGCATCCAGCTGTTGGATGAGCTTTTAAAAAGCTGATGATTCACATGGGACACATGCGCTTCTTCAGGAATTAAATCTGTTTTGTACCAATGAGAATATTTTGTTCAGAAAACGTCAGAAAATAACGACGACCTAAAGGGAGACGATGTAAGTGTTGTTAAATCCAGCATCTCACTGGGCTGCTGCTGGAGACCAGTTTGTCAGCAGAAGTCCTGAAATGTTTCGTCTGTCTGTTTACCTGAGGCTCACAGTCTTGGCCCATTACTTTGAACGCTTTTTAAACATTGGTTGGTGTCTCCCAGCTGTCTTCAACCGTTTTCAGTCTCCTGAGCTTTTATTTTGACACGTTCACAGGAGCTGTCCTCTGACAGGAAGCATCAGAGGCGACAGCTCTTTATATATTCATTATAAATCATGTTTTAAACTGGTGCAGGTGTAGACTGGAAGATGAACTGACTGATTCTGACAGGATTAGTGCTGCGTCTTCATACACCCGTGGTTACACTTCAAACAAAACTTTATTTTAAGATATTTAGCTCTACACTGCAAGATACAGCAGTTTTTCTTCAGACAAGCGTTTGGCAGCTGGTTGAACAGAAGGAGCTTCAGCTGTTTTCAGTTGGGTGGAAACGTAATCCTTTCTTGCTCAATGGTTCTGTGTCAGCCGTGGCCGACAGCTACGTTCAGCTGTTTCTGCTCCCTACAGGTAAAAGTGTGCTGGAACTGACCAACTACAGTAGTGTTCATCAGCTGCAGCTCAGTGACACTGGAGCAGTGGAAACAGTTATATCTTTACAGAAGAATGATCCCAGGATCACTTTGAACCGTGTTGATGTTTCAACTCTTTGTGTCCTGATGGTTTGAATGAAACCAGCCTGAAACAACACTTTTGTTTTTTGTCTCTTTGAGACCATTTCTGACCTGCAGTCCCCCCCACCGACACACACACACACACACACACACACACACACACACACAC